CCAACTACGTTGTTGATGTTTCATCAACCTACGGGATGTTTTTCATAGGTTGTTTTGAATACAATGTTGCTAGACAATATTTTAATGAAATCCATAAAAGGTAAATCTTATTACTTAAGACTATATTGAGCTTAAATAGTCGGATCTATTAATGTCATGTATATGGCATGCTTAAACATCTATTTAACGAAATGTTGAAGCCTTTTAAATTCCCACATCCTCGAACATTAAGATGGTAATCAACAAATATATCTTCCCCTAGGTACCAAACTTATACTGTCATCATTTTCTATTCATTTGACGGGCGAGCTCAAAAACAGTTTAATTTCATTTCATTTCAGGGTTAAGCAACTTTGTTTCAATCAATCCGTTAGGAAAACAGTCTTACTTGCCACTGTAAAAATGGATTTCAAAAACTGAGATATAGCCATGTTCTAAGTAGGCTCCCTGAAGGAAGCAACACTTCTGCACACACTGGTTTTCTATGGTACATGTTTTATATACAGAGGGAGTGTCCGATAGTAACTTGGTGATGACTGTGCTAAATTTTGTTGACAGATAAAGGAAATGATGTGATATGTAGAGCAATCATCGTTATCCAGTCTACCAATAATGAATTTATACTGATTAGAGATGATCCCGTTCTTCACTTGGTTGTCCGAGATGTGTACACACGTCCCAAGCTAGAACACTGATACGGTTGAGGTTATTGACTGTGGAATTACACATCATTACCTGCACATCTGAATTGCAGTCCGTTGAAACATAGCCAGTGACAAAAAAGATCAAATGTCTCATATGAGTTATTTATTAATTTGATTAAATCATCAATATGATCTAAAATACGGTTTTGCTAGATGCAGAAAATAATAACAAGGAGATTTCGCAAAGTCCTAACCAGATAGGTCTGTTGGTTTAACAGAGCCAAGGTCTAAACGCTGAAAAAGGAATGTCTTTTCCAAAAAGTTTCATAACCGGGCCAATACAGACAAATAAAAACTCTAAAAATAGATTACTGTCTAAATCCGATAAAAATTGCAACAGCGGAGAATGACAGAATCAAAAAAGCAGAAATTCACGGTGAATAAAGACTATGAAATCACCGAGCAGGATATAAATACATGCAAATTTATTATGTTTAAAATTTGCAGAATAATAAATGAACCCTTTCGAAATATTCTGAGGATATTTGTAACTGAATATTTAAAATTTACATATATCCAGTACCGTAAACGCCCACGTCCCACAGTCACAGAAGTGGACAGTAAATTTCTGAAAGGCGTATACATCATTCGATAAGTATGAGAATAAGTCTCAGAAGCCGTAAGTTGGGTTGAAAAGTGATATGCCTTTTGTATGCGTAACTCAGCCTGTAGCTCTTCTACAATTACTGCAGGTCCTAAGCCCAAGTAAAGAAGGAGGGTTGAACATGGGGTCAACAACTTTATCCCGTAGAAAACAACCTTGGTCAAAAAACGCTAACCAGAATAAACAAATTAAACCATTTAAACTCTCCCCTCCGAGTTCAAGTAAGGATTATGACGCCTCATGATGAAAACCGATATTATTCGAAGTCACTAGGCTGATGTACTTTCTAACAACTAGAGCAAGAATTAATACAGGTACATGGAATGTTCGGACAATCTATGAGACCGAGAGGACTAGTCAAATAGCTACAGAATCAGTGAGACTCATTGAACCCAAGCTAGATAGAAAATGATAGATTCGGGAGAGATGTCACTGTACTCTGGTCAAGAAAGGGAAAATGCTTAACACACTCAGGGAGTTACTCTGATGCCGTCCAAAGAAGCACGTATAGCACTTATAGGATGGGAATCCCATGGATCGAAAATCACAAAAGGATCCTTCAAAACAAAGGAGGGAATCATAATGTATGATATCCAATGTTATGCACCCACCAATTATTACAACGACGATAATAACGATCAGTTCAATGAGAGGCTTCAATCTATCATAGCGAAGTGCTCAGAAAAGGACCTGACTATCCTGATAGATCTGAACGCCAAAGTTGGAATGGATAATACCACGTATAAACATATCATGGGACGACATGGATTGACTGGGATATTGGAATGAGAATGGGGAGATATTTGCAATTTTATGTTCCTTCAACAAAATGATTTTCGGTGGCACGATATTCCCCCATAAACGCATACACAAAGCTACATGGGTCTCAGTGGATCACAATATAGAGAGTCAGATCGATCATATTTGTAGGTCAGAAGGTCAATGGAACCAGGAAAGGGGCTGATATAGCTTCAGATCACCATCTGGTGATTAGCAAGATGAAAATGAAGCTCAAGAAGCATCGGACAACTGGATAAATAGCATTACAATAGTTCAATACAGCCTTCTATCATGACAATGACAAACTTAACGAATTCAAGATAACTCCCGACAACAGGTTCTAAGCTTTACAAGATCTCACAGAAGAGGAAACTACTATGGAGGACAATTGGAAACGGATCAAAGAACCATTAACTTCAACGTGTCAGGAGGTTCTGGGCCGCAAGAAGCATTATAAGAAATGGATCTCCATCGAAACCCTAGACAAGATTCAAGAAAACAGCAATTAACAACAGCCGAACAAGAACAGAGAAAGCCAAGGCACAAGCCGAATAACACAGAGGCGAACAAACAAGTAAAGAGCATTAGAGCTGACAAGCAGAAATACGTGGAGGAGCTAGAGACGGCAGCGGAAAAAGCTGCAAGAGAAGGAAATATGAATCAACCATATGACATGACGAAGAAACTGGTAGGGAAATATAGTAGACCAAAGATACCGGCCAAGCATAACGAAGGCAATCCAACCACTGAGATTGAAGAACAGAGGAACACATGGGTGGAATACTTCTAGGAACTCTTAAGTCAGCTCCATTCAATCCATCGGACACCGAAGCAGAACACATAGACATTCCTATAGCTGTCAATACCAACGATCGAAGAAATCAGCATGGCCATCAGACGAATCAAGAGTGGAAAGGCAGCAAGATCTGACAATATACAAACCGAAGCACTGAAATCAGACACTGAGGTAACCGGAAAGATGTTCTACACATTCTTTAAAAACATTTGAGAGGAAAAACAAGTGCCGATAGATTGGGAAGAATGATATTTCATCAATATACCAAGGAAGAGAGATCTGAGCAAGTGCGAGAACTAACTACAGAGGCATCATACTATCGGTATCAGGAAGAGTTTTCAACAGAGTATTGCTGAGCCAGGTGAAAGATTCAGTAGATGTTCAGCTTCGAGATCAACAGAGTGAATTCCATAAAGATCGGTCATACACAGATCAAATCGCCACACTACGGATAATCGCTGAACAATCAATTGGATGGAACTCGCCACTATAAATCATCGTCCTTGACTATGAGAAAGCGTCTGACAGTGTGGACAGGAGGACCTTATGTAACCTTCCTTGAAACTGTGTGAGTAGCTCAGATCGTCAGCACTATGCGGAATTCATACGACGGACTACAGTTCAAAGTCATGCATGAAGGACAACTGACAGACTCATTCCAAGTGAGGACCAGTGTCAGACAAGGCTGCCTACTCTCCTCCTTCCTCTTTCTTCTGGTAATCGACTGGATTATGAAGGCCTCGACATCTGAGGGAATGCACGGAATAAAACGGACAGCTCGGAATTAATTAGAAGATTCGGACTTCGCAGACGACCTGGTCCTTCTATCCCATACACACGAATAAATGCAGGCCAAGACAACTAGTGTAGCAGCAACCTCTGCATTAGTAGGTTTCAACATACACAAAGGGAGAAGAAAGACCCTCAAATACAACACGGAGAACACCAACCCAACCACACTTGATGGAGAAACTCTAGAAGATGTGGAAACGTTCACGTACCTGGTCAGCAGCATCACCGATGAACAAGGAGGACCTAATACAGACGTATAGGCAAGGATTGGCAAAGCAAGGACAGCATCCCTACAGTTGAAAAACATGTGGAACTCAAAACAACTGTCAACCGATATCAAAGTCGAAATCTTTAATACGAAAGTCAAGACAGTTCCACTGTAAGGAGCTGAGACTTGGAGAACTATCAAAAGGAGCAAGTAATTATAAACAACTGTCTACTCAAGACGCTCAACACCCGTTGGCTGGATAACATCAGCAACAGCCTACTGTGGGACAGGACAAACCAGCTACCAGCTGAAGAGGAAATTAGGAAAAGACATTGGAAGTGGATAGAGCATGCATTGCGGAAATCATCGAACTGCATCACAAGACAAGCGGTAACTTGGAACCCTGAAGGGAAAAGAACAAACTGCGCCGAGAACCGGAAGCAGACATCAGAAGGGTGAATAGCAACTGGAAGGAATTGCCCAGGACAGAGTTGGATGGAGAATGTTGGTGGATCGTCTATGCTCCTCCATGAGGGGTAACAGGCGTATGTGTACAGAAATGTCATGGATTACCAGCTTGTGAAAATTGGTCTGACGATCTGTGACACAGTGCACCAAAACATTCCAAGCTGCTATAGGAGACCTACTGTGTAGGCTAGCTCTAAACTTTGTAGGAGGAAAACATACTCCAAGTATTTACAAACATTTTAGTTACGTATTCAGAATATATTCCATCTCACTAACATGTTCGTCAAGCGTGACCATTCAGTAAAGGATCTCCTGAAGGACAACAGTGCCACTTGTACGAGTATACCTTTGACAATAAACAATACAAGTATGCGAAACATGTTGATTAGTAAGGTACATTTATAGCTAAGGAATAACGCAAACATGAATGTTGAAACATTGATTTGTAAATGAGCATGTATAAGAATATCCTCTTAAAAATAAACATATGAATAAGTTAAAGATGATCATGTACATGTATAGGGACTTGTTAGTGATGTACAGATTGGATTAAAGCATGTTTTTAAAATCAAGAAATCTTTAAATTGCTAACACAATATATACAACATCATCTAGTTTTAATTAATGTATACGAAAGTAGACAAAATGTTAACGACCATGCCGATATTCACGTAACAATTCTATTGGTGGTTTTTTTGTTTCTAAATGTACAGAATATAAGCGTCGAAGTACACGAAATGCGGCTAAATTAGCATATGGTGTTAAAGTTAATGGATCTAAATAACGTGCTGGTAAACCAGTAATTGGACATATACGTAAACGACGCTCTGGACGCATAGGAGTAGGAGCAGGGCAACCAGGTTCTGGAAGTGGAGTGACTGTTTCAGGCATTGAATCACGAAAACATGCATCATTAGCAAATGTTATTAGATTTCCTGAACATTTGGCTGAATGATCTGTAATTATCGGACCAGCTCGAATAGCTAACCTATAAATCAGAAATATTTTAGAAATTGTATGAAACTACAATCTTAGGTTAAGCACAAATAAAATCACTGGAAACAAAACTTTTATTACATACGTTAGCAAGTCTACGTTTAGAATATTTGAGTTATTATAAACCACATATATATTCATAGAGTAAAATACAGAAATATGTGATTTATTTAAAAGTTAACAAGGTCACTGTTGATTTTCTTATTGTTCTTTAATAGTTTGGTGTGATTCGATAACCAAGATTAGGTTTTTACTTCCAATTAAACTTTCTATGGGGTCATTAACGATATCACCGAACTACCCAAACCAAAGAACATATAGTATAGATCCGAACCTTCAACACAATACCTGAAAAACGCGACCTTTGTGGGTTAGGAATATCTTATTTCTACTTTCTTGCTTTTATCCTAGTTGTTTCGGTATCAAACTTTGTGTTTGACAGAAACATCACACAAATAGTATCAAAGTTAGGCAGCTTATTTAACGACAGTGAGTTTGGTTACAGAGGAGAAATTGTAGGTTTATAAAGTGATACCTGGTTATGACAGTCAGCTGTATTTAGTTGGTGTTTTTCAACAGATATCGGCTCTCTGAATGGGATCTCAAAGACTATGACTTAAAAATAAAACTGAAAGATGATACCACTCTATATTTTTAGATATATCATGTTGAGCCTGATCAGTATTTAAAAAGATAAATGGTACTAAAAACGACCCGAGTTATGTAAGAGCCTACAATTCGAAGAGCGCGTAATTGCACAGAATATCGGTTATACACTTAATCCCGAAATCGTGTACCATAAAACTCCAACCGATCATTTAGAGATAAGATTGGAATCACCCTCAGTAGTGTACTTCGGTCCAGGACAGTTATGCAGTTGTGAAAAACTCCATGAGCAATAAAGAATAAAAATCTGAAAAATTATATGATTCGGAAAGACAATGCAGTAGACCAGCATATAGGGTTTGAAACCGGACGCAATATTAATGTCTTTTTCACATAATTTACAGGACTGCATTACCTAATGGATAGGAATCTATTTCTTAATAGCCCATGCTACATATATATTAATTTTAAACATAACGGAGAAAATATACTCGGCAAATCATGTCTAGCTTGGGAAAATGGACAACACTAAATCTGACAAATGTGTACATATACATATCCAGGTAAGATGAAAATAAGCCCCCTGAAAGTTAGTTGAATCGATGCAAAACCAACAAACCATAAGACTTTATTTTTGTTTCATATATTCTAGATAGCCCAATTTTAAAACAATTCTCATATAGATTCCATTTCAAGTGTGATCCAAACGATATAAAAAATTTGTTCTAAGATAATCTGAGATATATTTGTAACATACTAAACAAAATTTCACCCACTAGTAAAACTTACTCATCATCATTACTAGCTAACACTCCGTATATATTGTGCTGTTCCTCGATAATTGGAACAGTAAATGAATGATAACGAATCATTGGAGTGGAATTGACCGTTTTTTGAATGCGTGCTTTTTTCTTTTCAATTTCTAGGCGTTGATATCGAGCTGGAATTGAAAGCAAGAACAAGTAAGCAACTGGTGAATAAACACTCTCATAATTAAAAATATAATATGTATAGATGACTAACACCATGCTTTTTATGCGTATATTTACCCATAATTATTATAATCACTAAAATAATAACCAAATACTTTCGGATATAATTAAAACAATCTAGTAACAACAATAAAGCATAGTTGTATATCGTAAAATACACATTTCGTTAACTGGTCAGAAAGTATCTTTAAATTAGCTACCACCCTCCACTGACGTTACAGAAAATGTTATATGTTCAGGACGAAAAATAAAACAAATTCTACGAACATTGTGAAATCAGCTCACCTAAAGAACGACGATTAATTTCTTCCGTGATTTTTGCCTCAGCCAACAGTTCTTATTGAGTTAAACGCCGAACTTCCGGAAGATTTTTGCGCTGAGCGATTTCAGCTAGTAACTCTTTACGACGAACAGCTGTATTCTCAGCAGTGGCTATTCGTCTACGCGTGGTTTCGGTTTCTTGATCAGCTGTAGCTTGTAATGTGCTTGCCCTTAATTCTGGTCGTTCTAAAATATACGTATATATATATATATATATATATATATATATAGGATTTGCAAACAATACGTCATAGCTTATAAAATACTTCTTTTGTCAGGAGATTATAATATACCAGAAAAAATAAGTCATCTATGCGAATCCTTCATGGCTTGCAGATACTAGTGGTTCTGAACAAACATAGATTGGAAACATACTACCCATCAAATCAGCATTACAGTGTCACACTCGGTCACCAATCACAACGTAAACCATTTACAACAGCAATTACACATTATTTACAAGCAACCTGCATTACTGAGATGGGTTTCCATCGACACGACGCCAAAATAACAGTCTAAAGTTACACGTGTTACATACATTTTCATGGCTATGTACAGTATTAACTGGTCTACACCAGATTGGATACATTATAACTCATTATCCAATAATTGTATACATTGAAATAAGAGATATTCAGCTGAATCGAAATGAAATTAAACCTAATATTATCATTACTTGTAACAGTTCCCTTCTAATAATATATGCATGTGAACCACTTAATAGTTTATTCCTAACCTTATTCTTATGATATTTCTATTTTGAAATAACATAATCATTGCTGATAAACAACGACAAGTTAAGTGAAAATATAATCACCCACACTGCATATGCACAATGTCCAACTCAAAGAAAATCAGATAATCGACTTACCATAAGTTGAAATTTGCCCTGAAGTATTCTTTGTTATTGTTATCTGTTGTTGCTTATCTTTAATTTGTACGGTAGATTTACTCTGAGAATCAGTTAAACTTTTATCACTATTAGCCTTCTTATCAGATAATTTATTTTCTTAAGGACGAGTAATTTTAGCACATTTAGGTTCCTGTGGTAAAAAGAAATAGATTATTATCGAATAAATGTAAAATTAATAAATTTTAAGGCATAAATCATTTTAGAAATTTATACATCTTATTGTGCAACAACATAAAAACATTAATCAACAAAAAAGGTCTTACTTTCACTGTTAATGTAGGTTCCTACCTTTCATTCTGTTATTTTATTTTTGGAATTCTTTATCGTGCACGCTACATAGGGGTTTGAGTTATCTTATTAATTTTATGGACTGCATTCTGACTAATTTTTTATCATATGTGCATCCTGTGTGGATTGCTTCGATACTAACATCATGACAAGTTAGATGGATTTTGAGTAGCATTGAAACGCAGGAAATGAGTTTCATCCTATTTGAAACTCAGCTGGGTGCACCTGCATCTTAGTGTTAATACTAAGTATTACAAATACTGTTAGTAGTTCTACACATTTTTAAAGTATGCTAATATTTTCAGTCCTTTTTCAAAACGACTTATTTTTAGCAACGTGAATGTAACTGTATACAAGAGAATACATGGTTAGCTTAACGTGTTATGTGAAAATTCATCGTTTTTTAATTGAGTTGACTTCATTCAAAATGAACAGTTGCATGGAAAACTTATAATTAAAAGAAAAGTTGACACAATTTTCAAAAAAGGGAGATATTCCTACTTTGTAACCCTTTGTAACAACACGATTAGATTGACGCTTTTGGCGTTTGTTCTCATCATCGTCCGATGCTATTGCTGTTGCGTCATCTTCATCAGATCCACTGCTTTCATCAGCGAAATCAGAGTCAATTACATCTTCAACTTAACTTTCTGATTGATAATCGGCATCTTCTTCTTCCTAAAAGAGGAATTAAATGGGAGAAAAAATTATGACAATCTTTCCATTTTTATGAAGAGATTCATGACTATGATCTTTCCAATTAATAGACTTGTTTTTCCGGGACGAATTCAATATTATAACGCAAAGGCGCATGTAAGAAGTGTTCTCCTTATCTGAGGTTTATTTATTATATGTATGGATGTACAGCTTATCGCCTAGTTAAAACACTATAAACACATACAAAACATAAGACTTTGAAGTGGATATATATATATATATATATATATATATATATACTACTAGGTATTACCAACAACCAACATCGCAAGTGATTTTTCGCAATGTCAAAGTTGTATCAATATGAGAGTTACATTCCTTATCCCCAAGAATCTGGAAAATGCGAACAAAGTTGTAATAAGTAAGCATCTCACTAATTTGAGCCATTAGGAATCAAACGGATATCGGTTCCAAAACGTTTTAGAATTTGTCAATAAGACGTGTTTGTAGACATAATTAAACCCCTTCAGGTTCGAACACAAGTCATTAACGGCTATAGCCACATATACTAGGGAGATATTTAAGTTGTGAATAAGTTTGATTGATAGGGTTACGCAGATAAAGTGACTGTCGAGACGCACGTAAATTACTGGTCCACCAGGGTTCTTGGTACCTGTGTGGTTGCGCCACAGGATTGAGCTGTACTATTCAGATTGTAGCGTTAAGGCCTGTACGGTGTCTGGTTCCTCTGCTAAACGGGGTTGAGCTGCACTGTTTGGGTTATTACGTGAAAGTCCGGATGGTGTCTGGTTCTCCTGAAAACCAATGTAAAATTACCCTGGCCCACAAGGGTATATTATATAACTGTGAATTTTGCCCCCCGGAATGCCCTGGTACGGCCGAGAGTGGGGAGAGTCCGCTCTCCCTCTCGAAATACTCTCACACGGCCACGCGTATACAGCCTCTGCCAGGGAAGTCCTACTCATTGCCTTCTCGTGGCGGGGGTGTTGTTTACGAAAATGAGAGGACGAAAAGCGAATGTCCGGCGCTTTAACCGGATTCCAAATCAATGGTGCACATGGGCTCCAGTATCCTGCGGGAACGAATGGCGTATGAACCAATCGTTGGTCACCGGCTACCATGGGACTGCATCTCCTTACGATGCTCCACTGCCTTGTGGGTTAGACCTTTAGGTCAAAGGCTCGGGGAGTGGCCCCCTAAGATAACCACCTGCTTCGGTTTGGGCACCCGGGCAGTATCACAGCCCACACACAAATTGATGAACTCTTTATGCCTATGGAAATTACCTTTCTCGCTTTGAAAAACAAACAATTGATTCAGATTATTATCATTACAATTATTGTCATTATTAATACTAATATTATTATTACTACTATTATTGTCATTATTGTTATTATTATCATTATTATTATTATTTTCCACATTATTCACCCTCTTTTATACTTATACAGCGGCTCGTCTTTGGTGGAAATCCGACTGTATCTAAACGTTCTCGAGTCACTGTCCGGTTGAAAATTGTATGTTACCACCGAATACGAGGACTGAAGCAGATTTTCTGAAACCACGTGCACCATTCAAACTGGCTGCCTTCAACGTTCGCACATTTATGCAGGTCGGACAACAGATAGGGCTGGCTATGTCTTTGGAAAGTCTTAATATCGACGTGTGTTGTCTATCCGAGACCCGTACTCAAGACTCTGGCGAAGTACTACAAATTCGATCTCCATCTGTCGCTTCGAAAAGCTTGTTTTACGTGCGCTTATCCGGGGACCCTGTGGCATCTTCGTCTGGTCTTGCTGGCGTTGGTGTCGCACTAAGCGCTAGAGCTGAGGCAGCACTAGTCGATTGGATCCCCATTAACAGTCGGTTATGTGCTGTTAGATTAGAAAGTTCCATCAAAGTGAGAAGAAATCGGCGTGAGAAACGATGTCTTTTCGTGATCTCCGCCTATGCCCCGACAGATTGCAGCCCGGATGCAATCAAGGATGAGTTTTACCACCAGTTATCAGTTCTTCTCCAGAAAGTGCGTTCGACAGATATTGTAGTACTAGCCGGAGACTTGAATGCTCAGGTCGGGCGTCTAGGCACAGAAGAGAGTCGTTTAGGTGGCCGATGGGGACTCGTTGGTCGCAGGTCAGATAACGGGGACCGTCTACTGCAACTTTGCACAGACCACAACCTGTTTCTGGCTAGCACTAACTTTCGGCACAGTCATCGCCGATGTGCCACCTGGCGTCCTCCCTCTGCATCTCAAGCCTGGACTCAGATTGATCACATCGCGATCAGCTACCGCTGGCGTGGTTGTGTACAAGACTGCCGCTCCTTTTGGAGTACCTATCTGGACTCTGACCATGCCTTGGTCTGCGCCAATCTTGCCTTACTTTTCAGTGGACAACGAAGTGAACGCCATCAACGGATTGATGTTAGCAAGCTGGTTGCAACTTCTGTTGCAAGTAAGTATCGAACCGAGCTAGCCTCTAGGCTAGCTACCACTCCACCGAAAAGTATAGATGAGCATTGGTTGCAATTGCATGACGCCATGAAAATGGCGGGAACAGTCAGTTGTGGGTTTGCGAAACGTCCCGCTTATAAGCACTGGGTTTCTTCTGGTTCCTTACAACTCATTGAAGCCCGTCGGTCTACTCCGGGTGACCGTGAGTTTGACCATAAACGAAGGATG